GGCAAAACGAAATGAACATAAAAATTAAGGAAACTGTAGAAGGCCTATTGGCCCACACGTGGCGCTTCCTATGTACATCCACCCAAACTCATTCATATATATGTCTAACCTAAGCTTGAAACAATAAAGTGATCCAAAGTCTATTATGTTACCCGGTGATCTGTTCGTCAAATCTAGAACGATGTTTCTATAACCAGTAATTACCCAGGTCTTTCCTAAACTAGTATTTAGCCAGATCTTTCCAAAACCAGTATTTACCCAAGTCTTTCTTAAACCAGTATTTACCCAAATCTTTCCTAAATCAGTATTTACCCAGGTCGTTCCTAAACCAGTATTTACCCAAGTCTTTCCTAAACCAGCATTTACCAAGGTCTTTCCTAAACCAGTATTTACCCAGGTCTTTCCTAAACCAGTATTTACCCAGGTCTTTCCTAAACCAGCATTTACCCAGGTCTTTCATAAATCTGAACTTATCATCACTTGATGTATTGAAGTTACGTGATTAGTTAGAAGTAATTTGTGGTATGTATTCTTATCTAAGGACTTATACCTAGTAGCGTACTCAACAACTTGTACGTGCCTAGTTAGCTACTGCAGAATCGAGCTCCAGCTCTTGACCCCTGTCTCGTTTATGGCATCAAACAGCCATGACTGTTGCAACTGGAAGCTTCGACTGCATCATCGTCCAGTTAATTTGATTCCTCCCCAAACACTCTTGCGCTAAAAAGAGTATTTTCTGGCTTCTTTATGACTTAATTTGTGCCTAACTTACATTCATCTCATCTAGTTATATTGTTAACTATCACTATGTACTTCTCCCTTAACCTGGCATATGTCTGAGTTAATCAAATGTCTCTCTCTCTCTCTCTGTCTCTCTGTCTCTCTCTCTCTCTCTCTCTCTCTCTCTCTCTCTCTCTCTCTCTCTCTCTCTCTCTCTCTCTCTCTCTCTCTCTCTCTTCTCGGGTTTAACGACCTTCGTACCCTTTCCTTCAACCTTTTGTCGTGCCCCATCCCACGAAGTTGAGGGTCCAGCCTCGTTGCAAACTTCTGAGCCCTTTTAAAATTTACTTTTGTGCTATTTGAGGCAGGGACCTCACGCTGCGGCTGCTTGCAACATGCAGTTGGTTTTGCCTGCGTGTGCTCGGGGAGCTGGAGGTGCAGCTGGTGGGTGAGGAGGTGCAGCTGGTGGGTGAGGAGGTGCAGGTGTTGGGTGAGGAGGTGCAGGTGGTGGGTGAGGAGGTGCAGCTGGTGGGTGAGGAGGTGCTGCTGGTGGGTGAGGAGGTGCAGCTGGTGGGTGAGGAGGTGCTGCTGGTGGGTGAGTGGGCAGCTGGTGGGTGAGGAGGTGCTGCTGGTGGGTGAGGAGGTGCAGCTGGTGGGTGAGGAGGTGCAGCTGGTGGGTGAGGAGGTGCAGCTGGTGGGTGAGGAGGTGCAGCTGGTGGGTGAGGGGAACAACTAAGAGGGACAGAGGGAGCAGCTGGGAATTAAGTGAGGGAGATTCCTCATCTCCCTCACACAGCTGAGGGAGATTGAGGAATACAGCTGATACAGATGATGAACAGCTGGGGGGAATGGGGGTGAGAGGCAGAGCTGAACTTTATCAAAATGTATTTCAGATATCTTGCTTGTATTGCAGTGAGAGAGAGAGAGAGAGAGAGAGAGAGAGAGAGAGAGAGAGAGAGAGAGAGAGAGAGAGAGAGAGAGAGAGAGAGAGAGAGAGAGAGAGAGAGCAGTACCCCAGTGAGTGACAGAGAGGATGCCCCCCACCAGAAAGAGCAGTACCAGTGAGTGACAGAGAGGAGTGCCCACACCAGAAAGAGCAGTACCAGTGAGTGACAGAGAGGAGTGCCCACACCAGAAGCAGCAGTGTGAGGCTACACCTCCTGTATTACCTTACCTTCCCATCCTACTTTGCATGATATTGAGGCAACGCATATTTACCCAAGATAACTCACAGGGAGCAAGGGAAGGGAGAGAGGGGGAGAGGGAGGGGAGGTTGGGGCGTAGAAAAGAGTGAGGGAGTTAAGCCAAGAGGAATGATGTGACCCAATTAACCTTAATGTTTCCACAAGAAAGGCAATGGGGGGGGGGGGGGGGAGGAGGAGGATAAGATGGAGGAGGAGATGCAGGAATTTATCTCCCATGTTGAGGCTGAGCTAGCTCCCCCTCGAACATAACCTGCTTATCAGACAGGTCTCCAGTTACTGCTGGGTGAATAGGGGCGAATAGTTAAGGATCGGTGCACAGTCTATTTTCTCAAGCCGGGGCTCGAACCCAGTCGTAATGGCTAGCGAGATGTGGGGTCAGTGTGATTCCAAAGAGCTATGTAAATGAGAGAGAGAGAGAGAGAGAGAGAGAGAGAGAGAGAGAGAGAGAGAGAGAGAGAGAGAGAGAGAGAGAGAGAGAGAGAGAGAGAGAGAGGAGAGAGAGAGAGGAGAGAGAGAGAGAGAGAGAGAGAGAGAGAGAGAGAGAGAGAGAGAGAGAGAGAGAGAGAGAGAGAGAGAGAGAGAGAGAGAGAGAGAGAGAGAGAGAGAGAGAGAGAGACTTCATCGTGTTAAATACCCATTCTCACATGGGAGATTTATGGTTAATTTGGAATCACTTGACTGCATATTTGACGTTCTTCATGTGTCACTATGCACTGTACCGTATAGTGACGTCCCTTGTCCCTGTACCGTATAGTGACGTCCCTTGTCACTCACTGTACCGTATAGTGACGTCCCTTGTCACTGTACCGTATAGTGACGTCCCTTGTCACTGTACCGTATAGTGACGTCCCTTGTCACTGCACCGTATAGTGACGTCCCTTGTCACTGTACCGTATAGTGACGTCCCTTGTCACTGTACCGTATAGTGACGTCCCTTGTCACTGTACCGTATAGTGACGTCCCTTGTCACTGTACCGTATAGTGACGTCCCTTGTCACTGTACCGTATAGTGACGTCCCTTGTCACTGTACCGTATAGTAAAGTGACGTCCCTTGTCACTGTACCGTATAGTGACGTCCCTTGTCACTGTACCGTATAGTGACGTCCCTTGTCACTGTACCGTATAGTGACGTCCCTTGTCACTGTACTGTATAGTGACGTCCCTTGTCACTGTACCGTATAGTGATGTCCCTTGTCACTGTACCGTATAGTGACGTCCCTTGTCACTGTACCGTATAGTGAAGTGACGTCCCTTGTCACTGTACCGTATAGTAAAGTGACGTCCCTTGTCACTGTACCGTATAGTAAAGTGACGTTCCTTGTCACTGTACCGTATAGTGAAGTGACGTCCCTTGTCACTGTATCGTATAGTGACGTCCCTTGTCACTGTACCGTATAGTAAAGTGACGTTCCTTGTCACTGTACCGTATAGTAAAGTGACGTCCCTTATCACTGTACCGTATAGTAAAGTGACGTCCCTTGTCACTGTACCGTATAGTGAAGTGACGTCCCTTGTCACTGTACCGTATAGTGAAGTGACGTCCCTTGTCACTGTACCGTATAGTAAAGTGACGTCCCTTGTCACTGTACCGTATAGTAAAGTGACGTCCCTTGTCACTGTACCGTATAGTGAAGTGACGTCCCTTGTCACTGTACCGTATAGTGAAGTGACGTCCCTTGTCACTGTACCGTATAGTGAAGTGACGTCCCTTGTCACTGTACCGTATAGTGAAGTGACGTCCCTTGTCACTGTACCGTATAGTAAAGTGACGTTCCTTGTCACTGTACCGTATAGTAAAGTGACGTCCCTTGTCACTGTACCGTATAGTAAAGTGACGTCCCTTGTCACTGTACCGTATAGTGAAGTGACGTCCCTTGTCACTGTACCGTATAGTGAAGTGACGTCCCTTGTCACTGTACCGTATAGTAAAGTGACGTTCCTTGTCACTGTACCGTATAGTAAAGTGACGTCCCTTGTCACTGTACCGTATAGTAAAGTGACGTCCCTTGTCACTGTACCGTATAGTGAAGTGACGTCCCTTGTCACTGTACCGTATAGTGAAGTGACGTCCCTTGTCACTGTACCGTATAGTAAAGTGACGTCCCTTGTCACTGTACCGTATAGTAAAGTGACGTCCCTTGTCACTGTACCGTATAGTGAAGTGACGTCCCTTGTCACTGTACCGTATAGTAAAGTGACGTTCCTTGTCACTGTACCGTACAGTGAAGTGACGTCCCTTGTCACTGTACCGTATAGTAAAGTGACGTCCCTTGTCACTGTACCGTATAGTAAAGTGACGTTCCTTGTCACTGTACCGTACAGTGAAGTGACGTCCCTTGTCACTGTACCGTATAGTGAAGTGACGTCCCTTGTCACTGTACCGTATAGTGAAGTGACGTCCCTTGTCACTGTACCGTACAGTGAAGTGACGTCCCTTGTCACTGTACCGTATAGTAAAGTGACGTCCCTTGTCGTCAGAAGAGAGAATTGATTTAAGATTTATAGTGAGAAACAATAAACAAATATATTACATCATCCATAACAACATCGTCACCATTACCGTCATCATCACCACCGCTCTCATGATCACCACTAACGACAATATTATCACCGCCATGATCACCATCACTGCCGTGCTCACCATCACGAATATCATCATTAGAAATAATATCCCCATTATATCATTATATCCCCAATACCATTATGACCTCCGTCATTATTACCACCATTATCACTATCAACGCCATCTTGGAAATATGTATTGGTCACGCACGCACACACTCACGCACGCACACACGCAGGGTCTGTGAACGCGTCTCTCCGACTTACAGCCCTCTTCAAGAGGTCTAATGACACAAGCACAATTCCGCCACTAATACCGTACTTCTTCCAAGCATTTCCAAACCAACCTCCTCCCGACCCACCTCAAGTCTACCCCCACACCCCCCTTCAACCCCCCCCCCTCCACGCCCCCACCTCCAACCCCACCCATTCTCAGCCCAGGAGGTGGTGAACAAGAGCACGAATCTGTTACCCTTCGATTTTTCGCGCGCATATAAAAGACAGCATTAACACTATCCCTCCAACGGTGGGGATGGAGGCTTCGTGGGGGAAGGTGGAGGGTCGTGGGGAAGGTGGAGGGTCGTGGGGGAAGGTGGAGGGTCGTGGGGAAGGTGGAGGGTCGTGGGGAAGGTGGAGGGTCGTGGGGAAGGTGGAGGGTCGTGGGGGAAGGTGGAGGGTCGTGGGGAAGGTGGAGGGTCGTGGGGAAGGTGGAGGGTCGTGGGGAAGGTGGAGGGTCGTGGGGAAGGTGGAGGGTCGTGGGGAAGGTGGAAGGTCGTGGGGAAGGTGGAGGGTCGTGGGGGAAGGTGGAGGGTCGTGGGGAAGGTGGAGGGTCGTAAGGGAAGGTGGAAGGTCGTGGGGAAGGTGGAGGGTCGTGGGGGAAGGTGGAGGGTCGTGGGGAAGGTGAAGGGTCGTGGGGGAAGGTGGAGGGTCGTGGGGAAGGTGGAAGGTCGTGGGGGAAGGTGGAGGGTCGTGGGGGAAGGTGGAGGGTCGTGGGGGAAGGTGGAGGGTCGTGGGGAAGGTGGAGGGTCGTGGGGAAGGTGGAGGGTCGTGGGGAAGGTGGAGGGTCGTGGGGAAGGTGGAGGGTCGTGGGGGAAGGTGGAGGGTCGTGGGGAAGGTGGAGGGTCGTGGGGAAGGTGGAGGGTCGTGGGAAGGTGGAGGGTCGTGGGGAAGGTGGAGGGTCGTGGGGAAGGTGGAAGGTCGTGGGGAAGGTGGAGGGTCGTGGGGGAAGGTGGAGGGTCGTGGGGAAGGTGGAGGGTCGTGGGGAAGGTGGAGGGTCGTGGGGAAGGTGGAAGGTCGTGGGGAAGGTGGAGGTCGTGGGGGAAGGTGGAGGGTCGTGGGGAAGGTGGAGGGTCGTGGGGGAAGGTGGAAGGTCGTGGGGAAGGTGGAGGGTCGTGGGGGAAGGTGGAGGGTCGTGGGGAAGGTGGAGGGTCGTAGGGAAGGTGGAGGGTCGTGGGGAAGGTGGAGGGTCGTGGGGAAGGTGGAGGGTCGTGGGGAAGGTGGAGGGTCGTAGGGAAGGTGGAGGGTCCTAGGGAAGGTAGAGTGTCGTGGGGAAGGTGGGACAATAGTCTGGATAAGGTCCTTGGAGGGAACGGATGTTCGAATCTACACGGACCCAACTGAGGTGTTTGCCCGGCTGATGGAGGTAGTTTGGAGGAGGCAACGGGTGTGGGAGAGACGGGATGGGAATTAGGGAAGGGAAAGGGATAATGTGGGAAGGGGGAATGAGGAACATGGCGCATAAGAATAGGAGGAAAACATGAGATGTGAAAAGAAAATTTATCAGGAGAGAGAACTAATCTAGAGAGGACTATGTGACTAGGATAAGAGGGAGATAGGGAGGAAGAGTAGGGAATGAGAGGGGAGATGGGGATGATGTTGATGGGGAAGTGGGAGGGGGGAATAATAGAAGGCAACTTGTCTACCTATCAATTTATGTCTATTTGCTTTTTACTGTCAATCTGTTTCTTGAGTGTTTATTATTTTGCCAGTTTCTTCATTTATGATTTCCTGACATCATATGTTATTCTTCAGTTTCCTGTCTGCCAGTGTGTGTGTGTGTGTGTGTGTGTGTGTGTGTGTGTGTGTGTGTGTGTGTGTGTGTGTGTGTGTGTGTGTGTGTGTGTGTGTGTGTGTGTGTGTGTGTGTGTTTATATAACCAAGAAGGACAAGTGTAAAACAAAAAAATCACTTAGGCATTGGTGAGTTAAGAAGCACATTCTGAAATAGATAATATTTCTTGTATTCCCGCATTCCCACTACCCACACCGCAGCCTAACTAATAAGGATAACAGCAGAAGCCTCCACAATACAATTAAGATTGTGTTAGCGAGTGAGCCAGACTAATCATATTGGAATATTGGAACTCCAGGGTGACACTGGCAGCCCAGATTTGCATCACAATGTATCACGTGATTCGAGAACACAATCTATACAATCAAACACAATAAACCCACACACAAAAGTCATATATATATATATATATATATATATATATATATATATATATATATATATATATATATATATATATATATATACACACTCTGTTTTGCGGACGGAATGTGATTGGAGTTAAAGAGAAAAGGTAAATAATGATATAATCTGTGAATTGTAAATTAATTTAATGTTGACAATTTTCATGTTGCTATGTAGCACATTGTTGAACATCATATTGACTCGCTGCATGTTGTTCTATCATAGCATTTTCTGTATGAAAAGTACTGAAAGAAGGGTTTTGAAAAAGAGCGAAGAGAGAGAGAGAGAGAGAGAGAGAGAGAGAGAGAGAGAGAGAGAGAGAGAGAGAGAGAGAGAGAGAGAGAGAGAGAGAGAGAGAGAGAGAGAGAGTTTCTCCATGTTTTGAAACGTTATGTCGGAAATACTCACTATTAAGTGAACAAATTAGTTTTAATTTAGCTTCTTTTAAAATTGTAATTGACCTGAATAAATTTGTACACTTCGTTTATTTTGTTTTAATACGAGTATAAACATACTCATATATATATATATATATATATATATATATATATATATATATATATATATATATATATATATATATATATATATATATATATATATATATATATACTAAAACATAGGATGTTTGTATTGGTCCATAATATAGCTTCTGAACGACGTGTTAGTTTAATCACATCAAACACTCATCGCTATCCCTTCGTTGGTTGAACGTTGTTTAATGTCGTTGAACGTTGTTTAATGTTGTTGAACGTTGTTTAATGTCGATGAACGTTGTTTTATGTTGTTGAACGTTGTTTAATGTCGTTGAACGTTGTTTAATGTTGTTGAACGTTGTTTAATGTTGTTGAACGTTGTTTAATGTCGTTGAACGTTGTTTAATGTTGTTGAACGTTGTTTAATGTCGTTGAACGTTGTTTAATGTTGTTAAACGTTGTCTAACGTCGTTTAAATAGTTTAATGTCGTTGAACGTTGTTGTTTTGCGTAGTTTAACGCTTGTACAATGTTGTAACTGCGCACGTGTTGTGATCTTGGTGGCCCCCTGGGGGGGGGGGAGGGTCAGAATTGAATTGAACTATCAGGGGGAAAGCGCCAAGCCTTTATGTCAATATGGCACTGGGAAGGAGTCAGGATAAGGATTTGGGATGGGACGGGGGGGTAGGAATGGTGCTCAACCACTTGGACGGTCGGGGATTGAACACCGACCAGCATGAAGCGAGACCGTCGCTCTACCGTCCACCCCAAGTGGTTGGGTCAGAGGCAGCACACCACAACCTCACGCCTGGATATACTTCCATTCTTATTTTTTTTCTGATTTACATATAAATCTGATTGACAGGTCAAAGATTTTCATATATACGGCCGCCACTCTGGCAGACGGTTCACAACCGAAAGATCTTGAAAGTTCGATTTCCGGGGCAGGACAGAGACGTTTTGGCATGTCTGCTTTCACCTGATGCACCTGTTCATCTAGGAATAAACATGAACCAGAGGAAGAATTATTGGTACATAACCAACTGGGACTAGATTCACGAAGCAGTTACGCAAGTACTTACGAACGTGTACATGTTTCCTCAATCTTTGACGGCTTTGGTTACATTTATTAAACAGTTTACATACGTGGAAACTTCCCAATCAACTGTTGTTATTGTTATAAACAGCCTCCTGGTTCTTACGGAGCTCATTAACTGTTTAATAATTGTAAACAAAGCCGCCAAAGAATGAGAAAAGATGCACAGGTTCGTAAGTGCTTGTGTAACTGCTTCGTGAATCTGGCTCCAGGTTCGTCAGTGCTTGCGTAACTGCTTCGTGAATCGAGATCCTGGAGTTGACACGAGGCTGGTGCCGGGAGACACTGGAGCCCACGATTCAACCCTCACGTAGCTACACACACACACACACACACACACACACACACACACACACACACACACACACACACACACACACACACACACACACACACACATTACTCTCATTCGGTGTTCGAAATGCCTTGTTATCTGGGCCAAATTTACGATAACTGGCTGTGTATGTGCACGTGAGAACCTCGTTAAGGTGTGTCAACTATGCGATCATTACGGCCGCTGTGGGGTTAGAAATTATTATTATTGTGTTACATAAGGGCGAGATGTGTCGTTTAGAGATCATAGCGTTTATATGGGGATAATAAAGATTTGAATGGACTCGCCGAGTCGTAATACTGGGACCAAAGAAGAGCTATGAGGAGTGGGGGTATTTAGCTTGTTGGTTGGTTGGTTGGTTGGTTGGTTGGTTGGTTGGTTGGTTGCCTGGCTGGCAGGCTAACCAGCCGGCCAGCCAACTAACTTGCTTGGCTGGTTGGTTGGATAACTGTCTTGCTGAATACCTGGTTGACTCAGTGGATGACTGTCTGACTAATTGACAGCCTTCTTGACGTAATGGTGACAAAAAATTTGAAAGTCAGAGTAGTTAAACTGGAACTCAACAGGTACAAGCCAGGTTTTTTGTTTTGAAGCCTCCTACTTAGGTCTTTTGTTTTGAAGTCTCCCAGTTAGGGCTTTTGTTTTGAAGTCTTCCAGTCAGTGTTTCTCAAGGTGGACTGAGTAATAGTTTTACCGTAAAATGTAATTTCAAGAACACACATATTCGATTTTTATCTTGAACTTTGCATTTTCTAAAGGAAAAAGTTTCATTTATACATAGACATACAAATAAAACAGAATTATCTTCTTCGTTGCAAATTAAATTTATCAATGACGTATTGTATTCTGACTGCGGATTTAGATAGATAGGTGGAATAGGTAGAATAGGTAGATAGATAGATAGGTGGATATAGTTGCTAGTTCCATTTGTCAACTATTTAGTTTCCACCTGGGTCCTTTGTGCGAGTACCATCGGTGCTTAATATTCTATCCTTATCTGCCCTGTCCTTTTCTCAGAATTGTGTACGTGGTAATCATGTCTCCCCATAAGAATATTATATGTAGCAATCATGTTTTCCCTGAGAATTTTGCATGTAGTAATCATGTGTCCTAAAATTCCTTCGTTCTCCAGCTACGTTGAGATGTCTTCTGCAACTTGGGTGCTCACTGAATAAAAAATCAATATTGCGCAATCTCAAGGAGCAAGAACATAGATTTTTTTTAATTACTTCAAGACAGGAGAAGAGTTGCCAGGACGATGTTTTCATGGTGATATTTTCGTGAAGAAATTTTCTAGGGCGATGTTTCCACGATGTTTTCCAAGACGATGTTTTCCCATGACAGTGTACCACATCGCTGGCCAGACACGTAGTGTATTAAAGGCTTCGTGGTGTATATTCCGTATTATACTTAACATACTAAACGGTGTATTTTACGATACAATGAATCCACAACAGCGTGACACATCCATGAGGAAATCTTTAGAGACGGATTTAATAAAAACATTTTCCTTTTATTATTACTAGACTTTCAATATATATTTTTTTACACATCTTCTAGTGTATATATTTTTTAAGAAGTTGGTTTCAGCTAATCTCGTTTCCCAACTTTCTGCTTGCTTATTTGCCTTTCGAAATTTTGAAAGGTACTTTCTATTATCAATTGCATTTCTCTTCCTTGGCTTACACACGCATCGGGGTCGTTGAAATATTGATATAGATCTATTGCTGTTTTAAAGCTGACGTCTCGGATGTGATAGATTTAAATCTTTCCTTTTGTGACACGTGGCAACCTTGTCTTATGATATCCTTCGCACATGGCAATCTTGGTTTATGATATCCTACGCACATGGCAACCTTGTCTTGTGATATCCTACGCACATGGCAACCTTGTCTTGCGATATCCTATGCACATGGCAATCTTGTCTTGTGATATCCTACGCACATGGCAACCTTGTCTTGCGATATCCTATGCACATGGCAACCTTGTCTTGCGATATCCTATGCACATGGCAACCTTGTCTTGTGATATCCTACGCACATGGCAACCTTGACCTATGGCATCCTACACACACACACACATGGCAATCTTGCCTCCAGGTATAATATACATACGATAACTTTACCTTTCGGTTTTGTATATATATATGGCAACATATTACCATGGTTACAATATACACTGTAGCCTTCTCACATGGTACTGTATAAACGTGGCAAGACTTGAATGTTTTAATGTTTATAAAAGAATACTTTTATGGCAACGTGAGGAGGAAGCCCCCATGGCAAGAGAGGAAAGCGTGGGTCCCTGCAAACACAAACCGAAACTGTCTCTATTTTCCGCTTGTTACAACTTGTAATAA